AATAGTTCTCGAACCAAACTTCTCCGTCCCACTATGAAAATAATATTTCACAGCCCAACCCGTAACACCACTTTTAACCAGGGTGAGAATCGAGTCGAGAACGTGGTCGCAGAAGTACGACCTCTCCCCGAGATCGAGGACTTGGCACGACCCCCTAAAACAGAGCATACGCAAAATCACAACAGCCGAGTGTATCGATCAACGGCCGATTCAACGGCAGCTGCGGCGCGATTTGTCCCTGGGTCAGATTTGCTGAAATCCCGAAAAAAACCGTCGAAATCTACACCCTCGATGAAAAGGTTCCATTCCTCCATTTCCCAACCTTTTGAACAGCACGCGGTAGGGTTAGATAGAGCTAGATTTGCTACTATCAGGCAGTATTGGAATTGCTATGAAAGCCTTCCATTCGAAGAGATATAGTCTCTCAAAAGCGTCGAGGATGCTGAAATTTTCATGCGAGTTTTTGCCACTTAAAAGCAATATCTCTCTAATTTCGCAAGATCTTGGAAAACGAAGACAGTTTTGGAAAGCGGAAGGTTTGCGCTTTCTAGATGTTTAGCTTCCTTCTACATTCCTAGTTGAGGAGATATTTGCGTCGAGGATCTATCGAGGATGATTCTCGGCCGCTCAAAAAGCCGCTCCCTTCTTCACCATTGCAAGTGTAATTCGTTGGCAACGCTCGAAATGTGTCTAGAATACATTCTTCCAACATAAGCAATAAGAAAAGGGGCAATCGTCATCATCCGATTTTGTCTGGGTATAGGCCATGCATCCGACCTTCACTCGAAGTTGCAGAATCGATTGAAAGGTGTTATATGATCATGACCAAACTGCATTGTAGTAAACACATTTCGTAACTCCTACAACCTGAGGAACAACTTCATTTGCCCAGGGCTTTCCTTCACGGTTGTCGTTTTTGCGACAGGGTCCCTAACAACAGTGTCATTCTCAGCGAGGTATTAAGGGAGAAGGAGCGGGCGGTAGATGGAGGAGGTGCCTTTGCAGCGCGTGTGCACATGTGGCCCCGTTCCTTGCGGAGATGCACTTTCATTCTTTGTACTGCTTTCAAATACGTCCTTCTCATAAAGGTAGAGGAATGGAGGAGGGACCGGACCTAGCCTGCGAAGAATATAATGTTTTTCACTCATCTTCGCTTTCTGCTGCGCTACCCTCCACTCCTATCTTCACCACGATACCACTGATGTTACTGACCCCACGAGTACGACCCCCCATGACCCAGCCTGACAAGGTACGACCCCCTGTCGAGGATTTCCTCGACCGATATTCACCCTGCCTTCAACGGAAGTGCTTCCTTTACGATGGAATTTCCGTAGTTTTCAAAAAAAAACACGTTATGGGCAACCACGACTCCTCATTTTCATTGGCATTTCGCGCTATTCCATTATATGCAGAAAAAATCTTTTGGAAGTCCTCTAATTCTCGACATTACTTCCACTCCAACATCGTTACAGTTTTCTAGTCATTATCCTATTGATTGGAGGTGATACAACGCTGAACACCGTTGTGCCCGTGCATGGTTCTGAGACCGTCTCTCACCGGCCCGCCCTCCCAAAGCAAACTGCGGTGTTTCATAATGTCATATAATCGAGGAATGCCTCAAGCAGCCTCTTCACACGAGAATAAAGGCAACAAAGAACTATTTACAGAATCCACCAACACAGCAGAAGAAGAAGGAAATCCAATCAAACTCCAACTAAGGTCTTCTCCTGCCGGCAAGGATAAAGTAGGAGACCTCATCCGTGCTGATCCCGGGGAACGACTTCCGTTCCTGTGCTCTCGAACAGCTTCGCACCTTGATACAGGTAAATATTATTGTGTGAGATAGCCTAACAAGGACGTGTTAGCTAATGTGACTGTTCACCGTTCACAAGGAACTGTGCAAGTGTTTTCGGATGCTTACCAGGAAGGTCTTTCAGGGCGTGACAAGCTTTTTGAAAACGGTCTTTTGCATGATATAGGGGCAGATGCGGGAACCACAGAACCATGGTTAATTTTTCCTGAACGGCCCTCTGAATACCAGAAAAGGGGGTCCCTAGTTCGATTCCTCGTGGTGACAAATTTTTGCATTTCGAGTTGACGTTCCAAAATTCGCGCAAAATGGAGTTAGCATGAATAATTAGTACCATATTCATGATTAGGACCGTCAGTAACCCTTTATGTTATGTTATGTTATGTTTATTACGTTGCTAAGGCAAACGCAGTAAAAACAAAAATAACAAACCAGTAAAAACAAAAATAACAACCCATTCACGAACAGCACAAAAACGAACACCCTCGAGTGACTAAATGAAATCCATAAAAACTGAGAACATCAAGGGAAAAAAATAGACAGAAATATGGATCAGGAACGTAAACATGGAAGGGAAGCGTTAATCTCAAGGAACTACAAAATTTCATATGCAGATAACACTGCAGCGACCTTACGCTTAAATCCATCCAGGGAACCAGGAATAGTCATGTTTTTAGTTACCTTTTTGTAAAGGCTGCCGGCCCTGAATGTGAAACTTTTGGCTCTTATGCTGGTTTTAGGCCCAGATAAAATTATTTTTGTACGACCTCCTCTGGTTCGAGATTGTGCCATTTTATAAATATCAAAAGAACCAAACTCATTACGCTGATATAGAAGCTTGTAAACCATGCATACATCAAATACTCTGCGACGTGATTCAAGTGTAGAGAGTTCCAGGTATTTATTACGGATGGACGCTTTTGGAATCCTAGAATACAAGAAAGACTTACTCCGAAACAGAATTTTTCGCGTGAAATTGTTTTGTATCTTCTCGAGTGCCTCAACATCCTTTCTCTTGGTGGGGTAGAACACAGCAGCGCCTGTCTCCACCACGGGACGAACGTAAGTTTTATAAGCTTTGAGAAGGATAGCCTTATTTGTAGATGATAGACCCTTGAAAATATGCGACGTGCGCAATAGAGCTAGTTTACACCGAATTTGAATGTGCTTGGAGAAATCAAGAGTATTGGTGTAGTGGAAGCCCAGATCTCTTACACAGTTGACAGGTGCAATGGTAACCCCGTCAACAATATAAGGGATAGGAGGTACCTCCGGATTGTGGCCGATCGTCATGCAACTAGTTTTGTGTGGAGCCAAGGGTAGTTGCCATCGCTTTGCCCAGTCACTCAACAAAGTAATAGCCGATTGTAACCGCTCTCTATCTTTAGGTTCAGTGATGGCTTTATAGATTTTAACATCATCAGCATACATTTTAGTTGTAACGCTCAAACCAGCGAACAAACTAGGTATCTCAGCTGTGTAAATACTGAAAAGTACCGGTGAGAGAACACCCCCTTGCGGTACTCCGCTCACCACTTCCCTCCTATCAGAGTAAGCTTGGCCTACACGGACCTGGAAGGTACGACCAGAAAGGAAATTGGAGATCCATTTAACGAGAACTGGATGAAATCGCAACACCTCTAGCTTATGAAGCAACTTTTTGTGGGACACTCTGTCGAACGCTTTAGCAAAGTCAAAATATATTACGTCACAGCTGTGCTTGTTGTCAATCGCTATGGTCCAATCTTCAAGACTTTCGATCATATTCGTTTCCACCGATCGCCCTGGGATGAAACCATGCTGTTCTCGAGGGATGATTTTCATGTCAGCAGCATAGCTTAGAATACGCGCCTTTACCGTCTTCTCAAATAGTCTGCAAAACAGAGACGTTATACTGACAGGTCGATAATTCGCAGGGTCCGATGCAGGCTCCTTCTTGAGAACAGGAGTGACAAAAGAGTGTTTCCAGCGATCAGGTACTTCACCACTCATCAAGGATTGGTTGAAAATGTACGCAAGTGGTCCGCAGATAACACCAGCCACTTTTTGGATGAAAGTAAGGGGAACGGACGGGGGGGGGGGGGGGGGGGGGGGGGGGGGGGGGGGGGGGGGGGGGGGGGGGGGGGGGGGGGGGGGGGGGGGGGGGGGGGGGGGGGGGGGGGGGGGGGGGGGGGGGGGGGGGGGGGGGGGGGGGGGGGGGGGGGGGGGCCCCCCCCCCGGCCAATTCATAATCCGCTCATAAGTTGTTCGCATAAAAACATGGACTCCTCATTGAGAATGATGGGTGAGTTGACGACGAAAAATAAGGACCGTCTAAACCCTTACAAATAGACTTTGATTAAAAAACTGGTGAAAAAGGTGTGACACACAGTGGGGCTGCTTGATGTCACACCTCTCACACCAATTTTTAAGTCAAAGTCTTTTTGTAGGAGTTACTGACGGCCCTAATCATGAATATGGTACTAATTATTCATGCTAACTCCATTTTGCGCGAATTTTGGAACGTGCAAAAATTTGTTACCACGAGGAATCGAACTAGGGACCCCTTTTCTGGTATTCAGAGGGCCGTTCAGGAAAAATTAAACATGGTTCTGTGGTTCCCGCATCTGCCCCTATATCATGCAAAAGACCGTTTTCAAAAAGCTCGTCACGCCCTGAAAGACCTTCCTGGTCAGCTCGAATCTCCTTTGCATATCTGCCAAGCAATTTCAGCATACAAGGGTGGCCGAAAAAGGCACTTCACTCCACATCAAAGACAGCATTAATCACATTTTGCTGAACTCAAACCGACTGCTCCCAACTCAGTAATACAGAGCACATAGTCTATCTAAAAATTTTAATAGCTTTCTGCTTTCATCACAAGAATTTGCCATGGGAACCTTGTGCACGGTTCGAGCTCAACTGCTATTCGGCGGATCATAGGATCTTTACGGCGTTACCTGAAACCTGTCCGGAAGGGTCTTGCATATTTGGAGCTACTTTCCCTAGGCAATTCGTCACTTAGCCGATTGAGGAAATTTCGTAGCACCTTCAGACTGGAGCGATTACTTTAGGCTTTCTTGATATATTGCCGTGAAGACTTTCATCAATAGCGGCACACTGTGCGATGAAAAAGTTTGATGATGTGCGCCGTGGGCAAAGTATCTCTTTTTTGGCCACCCTTGTAAAGTTATTAAGCAAAATAAAGCACCGAAGCTCGTAGTGATCTATCACAGGTAAGAGGTCCAAGAGATCGGTTCATTGCCGGGGTTCCTCCTCGTTGCTTCACTGGAGCTTGTCTATGGCAGCCTACAAGAGAGCTCTCGAGAACATTTCTTTTCGATGCTATTAATGCCTCATACAAACATACGCCGTTCATAACCAGTTGGCGCTGCACGCGTTTACACAAACCGTTCTGCGGCGATATGGGATGATGCGCCGTAAATTCTCAAATTTCACTAGACACACTACGAATATTTGGCTTCTGAGCTAGATTCAGTCTGCTCCATCCTCCGATCACTTTTGATCTCTTACTTCTTCAACCACTATCGCTGTTTTCATCTCTCGACACTGCATCTAGACAGAATTATGGATCTTGTGGTGAACTCCACCTACTTCGGGGCATGTACCATCTTTTTCTTCCTCGCCGATTCCTCCCATGGTTCCCCTTAACTGGCTCTGAGCGATTAATATGCTTGGCAGTGAATCGCGCCCACTGTGCTTTGCCCACCTTTGGAATTTCACTTCTTTCACTTCCCCGGCCCCTATTGACTTTGTTCCCGATCCCTAGAAATTCCTGGAACTGAGTTATAAGTCTTCCAGCAAACCCCGCCCACTTTTGTGCATGCCTTCCCATCAGTTTAAATTGACTTTCCTTCTCCATCTTCTATGCTTTGTCCACTTTTCCGGTCTCCATGACTTCTTGAAACCGAGTATAAGGTTTCGTAGATAACTCCACTGATTTCGGTGCATCCCCCACTCACCAAGAACGGCTGACCTTCTTTCCCTTGCCAAATTTTACCCACCTTTTGCCCAATGTCCAAGACTTCTCGGAATCGAATCAAGGGTAGTTATGGGGACACTCTTCAGGGCGCGCTCCGTCTGGGCAGGCCTCCGCCCACGTCATGTATGCTGGGAAACACCTTAGACATTGCTCCCTTACACCAATTGTTTTCTGCTCTGTAGGCTTTCTCCCAACCGAGTATGAAATTTTTCATAAAGCACTGCTTTTTTAGAGAACGCCCCGCCCACCGGGGGTGGGTCTCCCTAATTCGATGTTACTTACCAATGCACACCTTTACCCACTTTTTGGCACAGT